GCACCGGCACCGTTTCAAAAGTACCGGTTTGGCACCGGTATCGGATAAAACCTAAACGATACCCATCCCTACTCAGTTTACTAAGTTTTACTACTAAAACTGCCGTACTGCACTTAATCAGTGAACAAATAAAACAGTAAATAAAACAATAACAAATATCACAGAAACAGTTCGTTCTCTCAGTTTTTCTGCTAAATTCCTTATTTATCCAAAATGTGAACTTTGATATCAAAAAATCAAACCGTTAGTACTCACCAACTTTCTGATCCTGCACATCCAGATGAATCATGATGGCCATCACTGAAGAGAGATTAAAGAGGTACAGATTAACTAAAACATGCACTGTAAAATTTTTAAATGAACTAAAAGTTCAAAAGTATTTTTACATCTTATATGTCCACAAAAATACAATAGCCTACTTTTCTAACCCAAAATATAAAACAAAGTAAACTGTCATATTTTTAATCAGAATGAATAACCTATATTTTATAATAATGTAGAAATAGAGAAAGTACTCACACAGTCTGATGAGGAGAGCGCTGATCCCCATGTCGTCTTGATGTAGACTGAAGGCTTAACAGTCGTGAGCAGTGGTGTCTGTTTGCCACTAAAACGATTTTAATATCAATTAAAAAGCATCTAGTTTTAGAAAAGCTGTTTCCAAAGAAGCTGAGTGTCTTTTGTGTCAAGTCAAGCCTCACTGTTTCAGTTCACTGTCAGTGGGCGGAACAACAACCAGTTCAGACAAATGCTGTGTTTGATGCAGCTTGTAGACTGCTTCGTGTTTCCTGTGCTTGGTGAACTGTGCTTATTTATGTCACAGAACTATTGAACATTTAATCCTCTTCTAGGGGTAACAAGCCCACTCAGGGAAAGTCATTAAAGCTATTTTCTCTTACAGGACAGTAAATGGCATATATAATAATGCCACTCTGACATAATTCATTCTTATATTGATCTGCCCAGTGATTTGTTCATGTGTGATATTTGCCATATCTGCTTAAAATGTGTTGACCTAGTGTCAACAAGCAATAAAAACATCACTTTAATGGTAAAACATGAACATTTATTTAGTCTTTGTCACTGAAGGGTACTCCATTGTGATGCTATATGATAAGAGAAAGTAATGACTATGGACTACATAAACAGTCTTAAAGAGATATAGAGTTGGTTGTGTGTTGCAAATGCTAATAAAAACGTATAAAAAATGTTGAATGTTTTTATCTTTTTTAACACAAAAGAAAGTTAATTAGATAAAATGTGGGGGAAAGAAATTCTATCGAAGTATGTAATGCTGAAAATATCGTGATTTAAAAAAATAAAAAAGTAAAAAATCATTAAATTTGAAATAACATCTATAAAATAATGTCTTTTTATGCCTAAATTTACTTTAAAGGTTAATGGAGCCCTTTCCTATTTAAATTATCTGCAATCTCCTCAGAAAACCAAAGTATCTGAGAACAATACAGTTTGTCTATAAAGAAGCTGAAACAAATGGCTTCATCATGCAACACACAGTGAGACTATCACATGGCAAAAATCATTTTAATTTAGCATATACACTTGGTGGCTTCTTCATTAGGTACTATACACTTTGCTAGTTACATGTTTGACCCACTTTTGCCAACAGAACAGTTTTATTCTGATTCTGTCACGAACAGGTTGCGCAGCAGGTGTAATTGGGCTCAAATGCAGACTTACAGGTAGGACATTAACAAAAAAGCACAGCTTTGTCTGCTAAATGGAAAAAAAAACAATAAAAAACTACAATCGGAAATATAGGAACTAAACACACGGGGAGGCACACAGAGAAAAATACAGCCATGAAGGAGAATGTGACACAGGACAAAGGTAGACTCAGACCTAAATACACAAAAAGGTAACGAGGAAGGTGGAAACACACGGGCAACACAGCTGACACAAATTAGACCTGAGACGGTAAGGAAAGCAAAACTGAAAACACAAACCCAGGACACAGACTGTCAAAGTAAAACAGGAAACATGGTGAGACACAGACTGTGACAATTAGACATGCAGACATGAAACACATGACCGACTGGGGAGAACACAAGAGGGACACGTGAACAGGGGAATAAAACATAGACACTCCTAAGAGGGCAAGGGAGAGTGAGAGGAGAAGAGAAAGAAGAGGGAAAGGGAGAGGAAACCCGAGAGAGCATGAGAGGGAGAGAGAGACCTGACATGCTGGGAAATATGGACACACAAGATAGGCAAGGGGAACATGGAATGTCACACATGGGAAATCAGACAAAAGAACTCACACAAACACCCGCAAACACAGACGCACAGGAAGGGACACCAGACAAAGAGACAAGGGGAGCATTCTTTTTTTTTTCATATAAAGCAAACATCATTCTTTATCGTTTTTTATATAACAACATCAAGTAAAACTTGCTTAACAGCGCCTACCCGCTACAAAGATAACAGCACACAGTTGTCATCAACAGTTTGTTATGCAACTGCAACATTCAGGTCTGTTACAAGGATTACAACAGTTAGAATCTCATAGAGAAACATAGCTGAGTGCATGCCAGAAAGCACTCAAATAGCTAACTAGTATTAGCTTAGCATGCTAACCAAAAATGCTACTCGTGAATAAAGTTACTAATGATGCACGAAAATGCCTGTAAGTTTCAGGGCACATGTTAGTACTGCTTTCAATAAAAATACATATTGACAATTACCACTGTGAGAATGTTTTCACTGATATACATACAAAATTGACAACAGCATTGCTCACGTGCACCTAACTCCAGTTTGGGATTATTTTCCTTTCCTCAGGAATGCACTGTGCAGCGATTTGGAACCTTAACAATGCAGTTGCGGTATTTGTCCTCCAGGTGGCTCTAACTATTCATAAAGCACATCAATTATGTAGAAATTCATTAAGCTTTTTTGTAACTCTGTTATACCTGCGGTGTTAGAGCTCTAATGGGTTGATATGGTACTATAAGGTTATTAATAATAATAATAATAATAATAATAATAGATTGGATTTACATAGCGCTTTTCAAGGCACCCAAAGCGCTTTACAATGCCACTATTCATTCACTCTTGCATTCACACACTGGTGGAGGCAAGCTACGGTTGTAGCCACAGCTGCCCTGGGGCAGACTGACAGAAGCGAGGCTGCCATATCGCGCCATCGGCCCCTCTGCCAACACCAGTAGGTGGTAGGTGAAGTGTCTTGCCCAAGGACACAACGACCGAGACTATCCGAGTCGGGGCTCGAACCGGCAACCTTCCGGTTACAAGGCGAACTCCCAACTCTTGAGCCATGATCGCCCCAATATTGCCCCTTTTACTATTTATTTTTAAAAAAAATATTGAAAAAATATCATTTTTACTGGCAGCAGGTCAGTAACATGGAATGGAAAGACCATCTCAGAGAGGCAGAACTTCACCTGTCAACCTGTTTCTACTAATCATGGAACAATTTCAGAGTAAAAGTGCAAAGACTTTGAGTTCTCCTTTAGTAACGTCTCCTGTGTGGGATGTTCTCATTTTTAGGTGGAGGAGGACTGATCTCTGCGGCTGCTGCAGTGAGTTTTTTCATCCTGCTGATCCTGGGTGGAGCAGGTGGATGCTTGCTTAGACAGAGGTCAGTCTCTATCAGAGCACTTTCATCAAATATTATTGTTTCTGTTGTTCTGTCTCTGCTTTGAAGTTTCTTAAACTTGTGATATTCAGTTGTGTTTTGTTTTAAAGAGTGACTCCTGCTCACACACCAGTGTAGAGGCCTTGATGAAGAGAGCCTCAGCATGTGAAAACCAACAGCTGGACACAAAGAGTCAGAAGAAGAGATCCTGGAAGCTGCTGAAGAGAAAACCTGAACATTTCTTCTTCAGCAGAAGTTTGGATTTCAGCTTGAATCTCAACACCAGTCACTCATTAGAAGCTGTGAGCTGATGTCAGAGTCGGGAAATGAAGGAAGGAAACACAGATCCTGATCTGATCACAAAGACCTCTGATGTTTGTCTTTAAAGGTCAGAAACTGTGTATCCAACATGGAGCTCCAGGCTGGTTCACCTGAAGACCTCAGAGGCTGAACACACAGAGCTCCAGCTGTGCTGTGTCCTCTCAGTGCAATACCAGAGCTGGACACTAGAGGTCACTGTTTGGTTTAATGAAAAAACATTAAAAAACTCTGACTTGTTTCACACATGAGTGGGAGCTTCTGCTTCCAGCATACAAACATGTCAAAGAGTGTTTTAAAACTAATCTTATATACTTTACATAATTTTGAATATAATTATTTTTCTGTGACTACGTGTGTAGCATACATTTGATTTTTAGTCAAATTCATATAACTTAATAATAAATATCAAGTAAAAAAGTTTTTGATAAGAAGCAATTTATTTAAAAAATATACAGGAACATTGTTCATGTACTGTTTAATATTTAAGTGGTTGTAACCTGTTACTCTAATGCAGAAAACAGAGTCATTAAACACGTCACCAATATAAAGGCAGCAGAATTTGAAGCATAGATGAAAATAATTTTCTGAAAGTTTGACCATATTTGACCCTAAAGAAGAGGTCAGAGGTCCAAAGTAACCTGATATTCACAATACACATGTATTATTCTCTACATGCTGTCAGTACCAACAATGACATAATTTAAATAAACGGCTCTTTGACTTTCAAGTTGATCTGTTGAACTTAGGGAGAGGTCAAAGGTCAATATGATATGATATTTTAAATTTTTATTCTTTATAATGTTAACATTACATAGCACACTTTTTGTCAATTTTCCACCAAAAAGTCATAAGGTTGACCTTGAAGATCTCAGTGGATGTAAACCAGATTTTATTGGATTTTTATAACATGATCCTACAGCCAACAGAGTTTTATCGGAACACATTCAAAACTTTTAGAGCTGTTGTGTTTACAGACAGAATGAAATGCAAATGCTGCCAAAAACACGAGCTTCTTGTTGAAGTTAATAAGAAACTGCTGAAACAATTTTTAGCTCCTCTTTGATGTACACATGATCTGCAGGGCCGTGCAGAGATGTTTAAAGGGGCGGGTGCTCAAAGTTAAAAAGGGGCACATTGAACCAGGTTGAATAACAACTTATTACTTATTAAACTTTTTTGTGGTGTTGTTTATGATTTCATTTCCCCCTGCAAATGTGAAATTTTTGAAAAAAAAATGTTTATTGTACAAAGCAAGTGTGTATTTTAGTTCTCAGTGATATTACTTCAAAAACATTTTTCATCCATTTTTATTCACACAGAAATCAAGATACATGATGAAGATGAAAATGAACTACATCAAACAGAGATGGAGGAGAAATTACAGAGAGAATGTGAGGAAAAGAAAAGACTTGAAGATGAGTTGCAGAACAATGAGGAGGACTTAGAACATGTCCAAGAAACCATTAAAAAACTGATGGAGCAGAAGATGTTTCTGAAGAACCAGAGAGAAAAACTCTTCACACTACTGCAGGAGGACAAGACAGAGATGAAAGAGATCACGGAAAAGTTGGAGAAAGAAAACCCAATACTTGACAAAGAGAAAAAAATGC